CGTATATGGTTTACCTTCAATTTTTTTCTATTCTTATCAGCATTTATTGTTATTTTCATTCTTGACTCCTATCCAGTCAGCCCCTGACTCATGGTGACCCCATAGACAACCAGATCGGACTGCTGTGATCCATAAGGTTTTCATTGGCTGATTTTTGGAAATAGATTGCCAGGTCTTTCTTCCTAGTCTGTCTTACTGTAGCACTTATAAAACATATTTTTATATGCTCCTTTATTTTGGTCTTTCATTTTAATAATGACTTCATTTAAGTCCAACACTTTTCCTCTGAATATAGTTTATGCTATTTCCCATAGTTTTGTTATGAGGTATTTTTCTAACAATTTAAAATTTTATTTTTGATTTCTTGCTAGTCTAGAATTTATTTTGGATAGTAGAATGTTTAAATTCAAAGTCAGATGTCTTCTTTTTATAATTTTCATTTGATGTTGTCATAAAAAAACTTATCTTATAATTTAGATCTTATTAAAGTTTATTTCTGATAACTTTTATAACTAATGTTTGAGAAAAAGACTTTAGAGACCAGATATATGTGTATCTATACTTATGTATATTAGCTCACAGGTTGCAAATTTCCACTTCTATACAGCAAACAAGTATTTTCATGTTATTTATCTCCATTTTTAGATCTTTAAAGTACATCTCATTTGGAAAGAAGGATTTAAAATTTCTTTTCACAATTGCATTTATTATGTTTTTGAATTGCTGGTTTGTTATGTTTACTTAGGTAGAATCTACATTACATGGTCTACATATATGAAGACTAATGAAGTCATTTTTCTCAGATAACTATCTTATTTTTAGTTTGTAACTTCTAATTCCTGTTAACTATATTAATATTACAATATCATTGTTAAAATAGCATTGCTTTCTTTATTTATATTTCCTTGATATGTATTGCTTATTCTTCTATTTTTTATAACTTTCTTTAGCTCCATTTCTTAGAAACAACTTAAAACTGATTTTTTTATTAAGAACATTCAATAGTTTTAATAGTTTTTCCAGATGGTACAGCTCTCATCTTTCAATTATATTGACATACTAATTTTATATTATTTCATCATACCCCAAGTTTACTATATATTTTACTTTCTTTTTATTTTTCTTATTTTTTAATGTTTTATACACCTTTTAATTTCATTATTTTTAAAAAAATTAACCTCAAGTTCTGACTCATGTTGACCCACGTGTGTTAGAGTAGAATTGTGCTTCACAGGCGCTACAATGATTAAGTTTTTGGAAGAAGTTCATCAGGCCTTTCTTCTAAGTTACCTCTGGGTAGACTCAAACCTCCCAGCTTTTGGTTAGTGGTTAAGTTCATGAACCATTCATACCACCAGAGTGTGTTAGAATTAATTTCTTTAAATTTTATCACTACTTCTTGGTAATTTGAAATATCTACTGTGTTCCCCTTTCTATTACATATTACCTTCCAATTTGCAGTAATTACAAATGAACTTACATATATCCTACTTTCTCAAAATAGGATTTCATCTCTACCCTGACACATACTATCTTTATCTTTAGTTCTTCACTCCAAATAATACCTTTACAGTATATATCTTTCCTCCCTCCATTTTTACATATCTTAACAGCATTCTGTCCTTTCATTGTCAACCACTAAAGATAATGCCAGCTTATCTTTCTGACCCAAACCACTAAGCTGACTATTTCTATCTGAAGGAAAAAAGAAAATGACTAAATTTGAATTTGCTGTCTGGCCTACTCTTGTGAAGATACAGGAATCTCAGTGTTAAAATTCTGTGTGGCAGCACCCCTACTTTACATGTCCCTGAGTTCCCTCCTGCTTGATGAGTCCTCAAACTAACAGACGTGTTTTAACTCTTGAGTTCCCAACAGTATTTAACATTTCGAAGCTCTGTTTTTTTTCTTCAGTCTGACTGTATCACTTCTCAAATGTCTTATAAAATGGAATTTAAGTACCATTTTTAGTAAAGTCTCAAAATTTTATTTTTCCATTACAAATTGGACAAACACAATGTAAAAGTCCACTAATAACAACATATTCATAACCACAGTACACAATAAAATAATTTCACATCTCATGCATGCACTATATTATGCTAAATTCACTTTATTCTCTTGACTTGAAATGTTCTTCTAGGTTGTCTCTACAATTTTCATTCAAAAATACCTATTTCCAATGTCAGTTATAACAAATATCAAAGCTAAAATGTGTTTTTAGATATTCCATAAATTCCTACTGAAGTATTTGTCACATTATATTTTGTTTATATCTAGAATTTTATAAACAGTCTGCACATACAAGTGATGACTACGTAACTTAAGAGAAGAATCCATCTTTCACTTATGTTTGCATCTCTAGCACTTAGGAAAATTTTTGGTATGTGTTAGAGTCCAGTGAAGTTTGTTCACCTCTATAATTTTCTGTGACAAAAGCATCATTCACCAAAATTCTCCCTTATGTGGCTACAATAGATAGTATTTGTCAAAATCACGAGGAAACATTGCTTACAGTTTTCTGAATTTTAAACACATTAGAGATATCTGATAGAAAAGCGTTCCTTAATCCAGCAATTTCAATTAAAACTTGTTTGAATTGGAATCTACAATGCTCCAGAGAAAAGTACTGCCACTCAACCTCAACCATAAAAATTTTACAAGAATATGAGACTTATCAGAGGAGAATGTGCTGTCATTTACCATGCTCTTGTATTTGTAATCCTTCTGGGGAAATAATCCCAGTTTATACTGTGAATATATCTGGGATTTTATAAAGTTCTACATGAAATAGAGATGATTTTAAAAACTTTTGAATTACTTTTGTCTGTTATCTCATGACACAATATCTTATACATTACTATTTAAAGGTAACATTTTTTACATTGCATTACTACTTTTCAATGCCATTAAAATGATTGAAAGAAAATGTTTGTTTTGATCATCTGTCTTCACTCATTGGTGAGGAAAGGATTCCTGTCCTAGGGATATTGGGCAGGAGAAACACAGGACGATAAATACTGGACACATGAATTTGCAGCAGGTTGCTAGTCATATATACTGACAGCCCAGGAGAGAATGCCTGCCATGCTTGGCCACACAGGACTTGCACTCAGGAAGAGAGTGAACAAGAAGGACCTGGCAACACTTCACTCTGGTACACAGAAAGTCACCACGAATCACACCCGATGGCAAATAACAATACATATTTTATCCAAGCCCCCCATCTGTTGGACATAGAGTCACTGTGAGTCAGAACCAACTCAACAACACCGATCAGCAATAATAACAGTAATCTGCATAGAAGAAGTCTCTGGTTGGTATAAACAGTTAATACTTTCAGCTGTTAACCTAAAGGTTTGTGGTTTGATTACACCCAGAGATGCATCAGAAAGAAAGTCCTGATGATCTACTTCAATAAAACCAGCAATTGAAAACCCTACGAGCACAGTTCTATTCTGACACACATGTGATCACCATAAATTGGAATTAACTTGATGGCAGCTGGTTATTTATCATCATAATGTTTGTTGTTGTTGTTATGTGCCATCGTGTTGGACCTGACTCATAACGACTCCTCCTTGGGTTTCCAAGGCAGTATCACTATGGAAGTAGATTGTCCAGCCTTCCTTCTGAGGAGTGGCTGGTGGGTTTGAACTGCTAGCCTCTGGTTAGCAGTCAAGTGCCTTAGGCACTATGCCATCAAAGCTCCCTTAACAAACTCACTGCCGTGGAGTCACATCCAACTCATAGCAACCCCTCCTTGGGTTTCTGAGGCAGTATCACTACAGAAGTAGATCGCCCAAACTTCATTCCAAGGAGTGGCTGGTGGATTTGAACAGCCAGCCTTCTGGTTAGCAGTCAAATACCTTAGGCACTATGCTACCAAAGCTCCCAATAGATGGCTGGGTCTTCCTTGCGAGGAGCGGCTGGTGGGTTTGAACCATCATCCTTCTGGTTAGCAGTGGAACACATATTTGAAAAGAATTTCTATTAATCTCCTAGATTGCAGTATATCTGCCTACTTTGTTGTTGTTATGTGCCCTCAAGTCAGACCTAACTTACAGCACCCCCTTCTAGAGTTTCTGAGGCGGTATCACTACGGAAGTAGATTACCCAATCTTCCTTCCGAGGATTGGCTGGTGGGTTTGAACCACCAGCCTTCTGATTAGCAGTCAAGTGCCTTAGGCACTACGCTACCAGAGCTCCCATCTGCCAGCTTTAGAAGCCCTAATAATGAATAGTTAATTCTTCTGTCTCCCTTTGTCTTTTTTCTGCATCCCTCCCTGCCAACAAAATCTAATCACAGGAAGCATTCTGTGTGGGAAGCATCAACTCCAAATAATTACACCAATCCTACTTCTCCAATTAGAGCACCTCCTCCTTTCTGACTTGCTGGGTATTTCAGAGGCATCTCAGGAGGGCGAGTAGCTCATAAGTCCAAATGTTGCCAAGTCAGTTCCGACTCATGGGACCTCATGGGTTCATGAGCACAAACTATTTTTGTCATCCAACGACCAGAGTTCAGAAGACCAATTTTATCCAATTACAAATATGACCCAAGACTTTATTCATTTATTTTTCCTAATGACTATCTTTCTCATTAATCATTGACTAATATTTAGGAACTAGTCCTATCTTCCACTCACTTCAGTGCCCCAGAATAACAGTGGTAAATGTCCTCTTAGAAAAACTGTTCACTATTGAAATAATGGGATTGGTCTCATCCATGTTTAAGGTTTTATCTAAGAACTGTTATCCCTTAATAATATTGAGGCATATAATCACTATCCTTTTTTCTATTTTTCTACTAATTGCATGGCAATATCAATGAGTCCTCTGTCAATCATATTTAATTCCCTTATTCAAATCATGGAAACATCTGCAAAGGCCCCTAGCTATTCACAAAATTATTATCAAGTGATTGTAAGTTTATTTCATTGTTTTATAATTCAGAGAGGAATATAAGACTAGTTCTTGGCTTTTGTATAGCTCATGACATAATTTTGTGGCTATATTTTGCAGCAATGTGATGGAGAAGACCATGTTGGTCACCAGTTGTAAAGTGTATTCTCTGAAGTTCTTCTTTGATATCTTGCAGTCTATTCAGTTTTCCCATTTCTATCTTCAAGATGGATAGAAACTTCAGAAAAAGGAAAAAGGGAAGTTAATAGTGATGGAAAAATTACCTTGATTAAGGGTAGAGTTGCACAATCAATGATTGTAATTGCAGTCATTAAGTTGTACACCTGTAAAAAGTAAGTAACCAATGTCACTAAATTGTACCTGTAGAAAATGTTTATATATATATATATATATTTCTCTCATAAGAATCACCACCTTCTTTTTTCAGAAACAGTTTTTAAGAAAATTAAGGAGATAAGAAAACATTCGCTGCACAGAAGTGAGAGAAAGAGGCTGAGTACCACGTTTTAAGTACCATGGTGTAAGTACCCTTTTTGGGCTTATCACATTGCTTGAACAATTTGTCTCAGAAAGATCAGCACAAGATCAGTCCCCACGAGGCGGAGGTTAAAGATGTCCCAAATGTCCAAACTACCGTACCATGCCATCATTTCAGACATTAACTCCTCCTCCTCCTCCCAAAATTTCCCCCATCTTAGGGTTCTGTATTTCACTGTAATGCCTCACAGAACTCAGACACCCAAGGGTTTGTCTCATGTACTAGTGGTAGAGGCTGGCAGGCTGGCAAGTCCCAGGTCCATGAGTAGGTCTGGAGGATTCTCTCAATTCTTAGGGTTTAATGAACCTCGATCAGCAGATCAGATGACGGCTACTGTCCCAAATCCAGCGGTGAGATGAAGATGAGCCAAGACACAAAACTGGAGCAAGAGGAGGGCAAATCATTCCAGGAGATTTGTAGGTATACCCTCAAAGAAGGTAAGGGTGGTGATTTGAATTATACCCTCCAGCAAGGCAGGACTCACGATACATTCCACCTGTGTTGCCCCAACAGAAATAACCTAAGTGGATGGCTTTAACAATCAGCAGCTCAAGGCAAATCCCATCACAGAGTTGATTGCCAGTCATTATAGGGAACGACTACTACCAGCTGCCCAGCCAAGTTGATACCTGACCTTAACTACCACACCACCCCAAACAGGCATGGATAATAGGATTTACAGTAAGTACATCACAGAATGGAAGACAATGGCTAGAAGGGCCACATCAAGCAATTCATCGCACACATGTAATAATTTGAAGGTCTCAATGAAAAGAGAAAATTTTTCTTATAAAACTCATACAATTCTAGGTGTTGGGGTAATGCATACATGTGCTTCCTATTTTCAATCCAATCAGCAGTGGAAGACAATCAGAACCAAGGTCATTTGTCACCTTACTTGGATGGAGCAGAGGGTGCTGTGGAAAGCAAAATTAGCAGAGTTCTGGAAATAGTATATACCATGGGATTGGTTGTTTAATTGATTGTTTTTGCCTTTCTTTTTTAACCTTTTCCTTCTAAAGAAAGGTATTTTACTAGGAACCTGTGGGCATTTTTCAGAATCTTGTAGAAGAATACATCAAGAATAATGAAAAATTGTTAGTTATTTAATATTCATGCAAATTGGTTCTTCAGGCGAAGTAGTAGTCTGATAGGATGGTTCAAGAAACAAAGAGGTAAAAATAGGATTTATAAAAGAGAGGGAGAGAAAGCAATATTTCTGTTTGTACAAATCTGGACAACGTGAACAGCTGTCAGTTAACAGAGAAGTAAATCTGTTTCGTTTTGTCCTTGAGTAGCTAAGATAGGGTGATAAAGAAAACCATGATGGCTAAGCACTTAGCTGCTAACCAAAAGGTTGGTGGCCCAACCCACCAGCATCTTTGCAGAAGAAAAAAACCTGGTGATCTGCTCTGTAAAGATTATAGCCTTGGAAATGCTATGGTGCAGTTCTTCTCTGTCCTATAGGATTACTATGAGTCTATGCATATGACGACATCCTGAGAGTTTGGCAGTGTAACATAGGCAATAAGCTTTTTCTATGCCATGTCTTTGAGTCTCCTTGCATAAGCTGTTCATATTAGTTGGGCCAGATCTATACCATTCCTTTATTAGAATTTGTCTATATTACAACTTTGTTTTTTCTTTTAGCCACAAAATTTTACTGAACAGTGAAGCCCAGAAGAGACAATTTCTCTATTAAATCAAAGTAAAGAAAATGTTACAAAATTCTTGTTGTTGTTTGTTATGTGCTGTTCAGTCAGACCTGACTCATAGTGATCCCTCCTTGGGTTTCCGAGGCAGTATCACTACAGAAGTAGACTGCCTAAACTCTTTTCAAAAAGGAAATTTGTACAAAAGGAAAAGCACATAGGATTATTTTGTTATCCTTCCTCAAGATTTTGAGTGGAGACCTAAGGTCTAACAATTTATGAAATAAAATTTTTGTTATCCTTTCTCAAGATTTTGAGTGTTAGACCTAAGGTCTAACAATTTATGAAATAAAATTTCTGTTCATAGTATTGTGCTCTGCCCCCCACCAAAAAAAGGTAAATAAGACAGGAGAATTCTCCTGTCAATCTCCTCTCCTCTGTTGTTTCCACCAACCTTAAGAAATGGAGAAATGTTAAGAGTATTTAAGGCACTCATTGATCAGTGTTTTTAAAATAGCTTTCATTATAATTTTATGGATGCTTTTGGTAACCTTTGTAAAAATTAGAGACTTAATTAAAAATTCAAGCTAGAGAATACCAATATCATTGTGAATTCACTGAAACCTAACATGCAGGGCTATAACCACTTCTACTACCTTACATCACATCCATATCGCAAATACTTACCTTTTTCTTTAAATTGTCAAACTCCTGAATAGTTTCTGTCTTTCTGGGGTATTGGAATTTTAGGTCTGCAAGAGTAACTTCTTCAGACATTGTTGGATATGCAAAGTAAGCTCAACACATTGTAAAAAAAAAAAATAAAATAAGTAAAAGATGAAAGAGAAGTAACACAGAGTTGAATGTTAAACAGAATCTTCTATTTTAAGTCTAAATGCTTACATTGTTTGTTCAAATCCCTGTGCCAATTACCCACATGTCCATAAAAGATCTGAAACCCACCTGCAGCCTCAGACAAGAACAAATGAGCTGTTAAAAAAGTTGCAAAAGGGAAAACCTTCTTCCTCATATTGCTTCCCTATTCAGGTCACTGAGAGTATGAATTGACTTGATGGTAAGTAACACCACCCATAGAAATCACTCTTTGAAATTGTGTTTGGTTAATATTATCCATATCCTGTAAGAGGAACATAGACATGAATAGCTAGCATCACATAGTACAATTATACCATAGAATTTATTAGAGAAAAACTTTCAAGCAGAGAAATTGTGGAGAGGACACAATCCTTGAAGAACACTGATTATTCCCTAGCAGTGACCTGCCATAGATGTTTTGTATGTGTCACGGCTAGGATTCTAACTGAGAAGGGTTGCCTCAGCCTCAAAGCTGAACATGCACAGAGAGCATTCTCAGAGAAGAGAGAGTAAGTTCTGTCCCCAAACCCTGTTACAAAGGCAAGGTTAGCTTAAGAGGAACTATGAAATATCTAGTTTCTCTAAGTAAAATATATTAAGGGAACTGGGGCCCACAATCCACATCAGGGATTATACTGATTGCCAAATTGCATACCCAAGACCCTAGGAACAGTTTCTCAAACCAAGAAAGCTGAGATCAATCTTATTGTCTCTCTGAAGACTCACTAAACTTAGATCTTAACTAAACTACCAAAAAAGGGTAGGGAATGAGTCTCAGGGTCATGCAGATTTGTGCTTCATCACTTGGACTCAGAATTTTAGGCTAAAGGCTTGAGTGACACAAATATCAAATGACAGCTGAGGGTGTTAAAACAAAATTCATGGTAAGTCAATATGTTGTTGTTATTTGCCGTCGAGTCGGCCCCGACTCATAGCGACCCCTCCTTGGGTTGCAATATTAGAAATTGATTAAAGTTTATTTAATCATTATTTTTCAAATTATGTTAACATTTTGACTGTTGTTGTTGTTGTTATGTGCCATCGAGTCAGCCCTGACTCATAACGACCCCTCCTTGGGTTGCCAAGGCAGTATCACTACAGAAGTAGATTGCCCAGTCTTCCTTCTGAGGAGTGGCTGGTGGGTTTGAACTGCCAGCCTTCTGGTTAGCAGTCAAGTGCCTTAG